TAGACACACACACGCACACGTACACATAAACACACCCACACACACATAGAGCCTTTTATCTGACGATGTGTACTCCTGCATCGCCACGTGTGTAATGTGCAGAATGTGGTATGTTTTTGCCTGTTCTCAGTACAGGACTGTAGTAGCGGATTAGCGATGGGCCTATCACATGCGAATGGCACACGTTATGATTTCATGCATCACAAACATCTGTTGTTGCAGTGTACATGACATGGGTACAAACTCTTTGGCGGGCGCACCAGAAGTCGGCTGACTTTGCACCGGATGAGGATGACATGACCATCTTCGCAGCGCAACGGACCATGGTATGTGCACCAGGACAACCGCCCAGGTGCAGGTGCAGGTGCAATTACAGCTCACTCGGTTGCTATGGCAACCACTATCTAAAGTGTTGTCGTCTGCCCGTGTAGTGGTGATAGTCTGTGCTGTCACTGGATCGGCGGGCGTTAGTGGGTGCTGAGATCACACGCACACATGTATACGCACACACACACGTGTACACACACACACATTTATGCACACACACACGCGCGCACACACACACCCACCCACACACACATTTACGCACACACACGCACACACACACCCAGTCGTTGTCAAGGGCTATGCCTTGGTTCAACCGCATGTTGGGCTCACTGATGACATTGCATGGCATGACATTCGCTTCACCTGTCTTATGGGCAGTCGGTGTCACTTGACATATTTGACGCACTTGACACACTTGTGGCTCACAGCTGACAGTTCGGTACCTTTGGTCCTTCCACCTAAGGCAATGAATGTTTCACACAATGTCATGTCATGTCATGTCATGCGCATCTCATCTGATCTCATGCGCATCTCCTATCGATCACAGGCATGTAACGAGGTGTGCAAGTTCATTGCACACACACAGACGCAGATTAAAGCTTCGCTGGATGGCGACAACGCCACACAGTTCATCACACAACTAGCAAGTAAGTTGCAGCACATGCAGCAGCACA